GATGATGATGATGATGATGAAGATGACCATCCTAACTTCTTTGTGAGAATGGACTCAAAGTGTTTCACAGGATTTGATTTCAGAATAAAAGCACACACATGAAATCATCATCATCAGTTGTCCATGAGAGGAACGTGACTCCAGGGTTTGACTCTGTGAAGGTGTGTGACTGAGGTGAACGGAGCGTCGGGCCCTAAATGTCCACGCTGACAGATTTATATTTGTATGTAGATTTATGTATGACCTGTATCGCACACAGGCGGCTGTATGTCATTGTCTGGGCCTGTAAATACAAGCTGCAGTCTGCAACTGTCCAGTGTCATGTGTGTAACATGTTAATGTGAGTTCTTTGTTCTCGTTCCTCTGAGAACGTTTCCGCTCCGTGTTCATGGAGTCAGACACAAACACAGAAAACAAGAAGCACTTTTTAAAAAGACCAACATGTGTTTAAATTGAATTAGAATTCTCTCACTTGTCTCCTGCAGATGATTCATCGTCTGAGAGCGGCAGCGGCAGCGGCCTGCCCGCGCTGACCCCTCCCTCCTCTGCCGTGTCAGATGGCGCCATCGTCAGGGAAACCAAGATTGTCAACGGCAACAATGGCGTCGTCCCCCTTGACTTCAGCACGCCGACCTCATCGTCTTCGTCGTCCGAGGACCAGCAGCCTGTCAACCTGAGTGACCCGCCCCCCCAGCGCCTGCCCCTGTCCACGTCTCACCTGCCCGTCACGGTGTCGGCAGCGGCGGCGGCCCTGCTCGGCGCTCTGCATCCCAACGCACCCGAGGAGCTCCGCAGGAAGTTCCCACTGGCTGCAAAACCTCCTCTGGCTCCACATCCGGCCCTGCCGCTGCCACACACTCCTCACACACACAACACACACTCTCAGGCCCACGCACACACCGCCGAGCTGCGACTGGACCGAGACAACAGAGACTACGAGGGAAAGGTCAGAGGTCACAGCTCACACACACACACACACACACACACACACACACACACACACACACACACACTGAAATAATACTGAAATAGAAATGACTGATAAAGGTTAGGATGAATAGAAGGTTCTTCTCTCCTTCCCTCCGTTCTTCGAGTCTTTGTGCGGAGCTGAAAAGCAGAAGCTGAAGAACAATACACACCGACCTTGGAGGGAACACATTCCTGACAGAAAGGCTACTCACATCACACACACACACACACACACACACACACACACACACACACACACACACACACACACACACACACACACACACACACACACCCACACACACACACACACACACACACACTAACACACACCCCCTCACACACACACACACACAGATAGTGAAAGAGAGAGAGATTCACACTCGTGCTCCTTTTACTTCAACAAATATTCTTCTCACTCACAACAGTTCACGTGTGTGTGTGTGTGTGTGTCTGTGTGTATGTGTGTGTGTGTGTGTGTATTTATGTATTTGTGTAGTTCATAACAGACCTGTCAGTTTCCTCTGCTCGTTACATCTGTGGTTCAAAACATTCATGTTATACTTTGCTCTATATCTTATATAAATATATTTGTGTCCGTCTGTTTGTAACTATAACGTTAAGCACATAAACATGAAGACCGATCGTCACCTCTGGTTGTTAAATATTCACGGATGGAGACAGAGAGTCCTGACTGTAACTCTGTGTGTGTGTGTGTGTGTGT